CCAGTCAACCTCCTTCACTGCCCAGCGTTCAGCCCAAACATAGTGACTGGGAACATCATTTCTGGATGATCTCAGCCTTGTTTCCAGTGAAACCTTCATACACCTGGTTATCTTTTCTATTAACTTCAAATATGTGCAGTAACTTGCAGGTGGCGTGGAACACACAGACTGCAGGCAAGCCTGATGATGTGAAGGGGATAAAATCCAAGAGCCAGAATTAAACTTGTACACCCCAATGTCTTAATGAACACTTGAGCACAGGAAAGCAAGTCTGGCACCCTCCTTTGGTCTTGTTCTCATCCCCTCATTGATTACCATCCCATCTCTGCCTACTTATATCCAACTTCAGCACCACAGGCGGCCATAACGGTCTGTATTGAATGGAACCGAACAAGGTAACTCTGTACAGGGGGTGAAAAAACCCCAATCAGCCACCAGGAGCAAAATCTGAACACAGACTTTTCACATCATACTGTGACTCTGTGACACTTCAGGACTGAAGACAGAGATTAAGACCATTTCCTTTTCCTGTTCCTACTCAGTCATCCCATAAAATAACAGGAAGAAAAAAAAAACAGATATTACCAGCAACGTAGAAATGATCCTGCGGCACTCATTTGGTACTGCTACAGAAGGACGCTGTATATGGATGTCGTTACTAGCAGCCAGGACACAAACGTGCAGATATTCTGCTGCACAAGATGCATGTCACAGTTCTTGCACTCAGAGTTCACCACTTTAGTTCATTTTTTGGTTGAGATGCTACCTTCTGAGTACAAGACATTGAGTAGCATGCACCAGAGCCATCCGAGGTACAGCAGTTACCATTTTAGCTGGGCTACAGGATCTGGAAGGCAAATTCTAAATCTCTTTGAAATACATGAGCTCTGCATCAGAGTATGATGCCAGAGGAACAAAGTCAATCCAAAGGCTAAGCTTCTCAAATGCCCATTTAATATACTGCATCTTCTGTAAAAATTGATTATTTGAAGATGACAGAATACTGGTAATGGATATCGAGTGGTACTGCAGTTTGTAAAGACTGTGTCACCTAAATATTTAAGCAGCCCCAAAGGATCAGAACAATGTCAATGTACTAGGGCCACTGCCAGCATCCCAGCTTTTTTAAAAGCACCAAAACAAAACAGTCTGTTTCAAACATTTATTTGTACTACAGTAGAAAACTACAGGTTGATGCAATTCATTGACTTTAAACCAGTGTTTTGTGCATGAGGATGGGGAATCAAATATCGGGCATGTCGTGAGCGGAGCCGACTGGAGCCGGGGGTCAGACTAGATGGCCCGGGAGGTTCCTTCTGACTCGCTCTGATTCTATGTTTCTACATGTGATCATATTTAAGCTGCACTGCATAATGGGACAAGTACATAATCAAATAAGATGCTGAGGATGGTACTATAAGACATTTATTTTTATTCTTTAACCTACACATATAAGACTTGATTCCCATCTCTGCTAAAATTAAACATGCCACATCAGAACAGTTAAATGAAAAATGTTTCTGCAAAATTAGATATAGGTACTGCCCCTATACAATCACAGGTCAGTATTTAAGGTAGCTAATGAAAGGCAGAAAATCATTTCAGTCAAACAAAAGCTCCAGCATTATTTCCTTTAATATCTTAGAAAATAAATTCTCCTCAGTTTTATCACTATCATATTTTAAAGTTACTTCCAGTACTGTCATTATTTAAAGGAAATTAACTATTTAAAAACTGAGTAAACAAGCAATTTTACTATATCCATAAGTCAGCAATTGTCACAAGAAACAGTTATGAAACATTAACACCTCCAAACCACAAATCATTCAAAGTTATTTCTAAGCCTCTATGGATGTGATTATCTCATTCAAGACCTTGCTACTTGGAGTTCGTCATTTTCAGGCACTAGTAACAGCATAATATTATACAAATATTATTTATTTTTATCTATTTTTTAGAACACTGAACAGCTGTTCAAGCTGTTTTGTGCTGATTTCTTGCTAATGAGCCTATTCTTGTGGGGCGGGGGGGGGGGAGTAGCATGTGCTATTTGTGGCGCTTCTGAATGATTAAGCATCTTTGAAAGGGGGCTGAGAAGAGACTGAGAAAGTGTCATGAGTAAAATAGCAGCCTGCCAGCCACAGGAGCTCCATCGCTGGTTGCAGCTCAGCCCCAAACCCTCCCCCTCCCCCTCAGATTTTGTAGGGCAGCTTTCTGGTCCTAGTACCTCTCTGCTTTAAAGCATGTGTTGCTACGATCTAGCCGATATACAACAGATGCGTCACCTACTCCACTAAAGTTCATTTTTGGCTTTAATTTGATCAACACTGGTGGCTGACACTTTCATGAGCTAATTAAAGCGCATCATTTATTAGGTTTAATTTACTTATTGATAAAATTCTGTGCACCTCATGCTAACTCAAAGCAGCTAATAAACTACTTTAAAACCTAAAAATAGTAAGTACAGCATGTAAAAAGCAGCAGCAAAACCACAAAGAACCAAAACTAGCTTTTAATAGAACATAGCATGACATGACCTGAACACATCTACAAAACACTATTGGGGTGGAGAGCAGAGACCATAATTCAGAGCCAAACAGACCTCTAAACTCAATACTTCAGGTTAATGAGAAAGAGGGATTAAAACGGTTTATTATTCACCATGCCACAACAACAACTGTGCTAGAAGAGGCTGCATCTGTTCTTAGAAGTGAGTACAAGTATCCCATAATAAATATTTGGAAAGAGACCTAAAATTCAAATTGCAGCCAAGTGCCCTTCATTTGCTCATTTTCAACTACTATTAAAAAAACAACAACAACGCAGCGCATTTCTTTCCACGCTTCTAATACAGGGCAAACAAGCAGCACAAAATGAATCTATCCCAATCTAGTTAGAATTCACGATTTTATATTAAATAGGGAGTTCCAGAAACCAGAGCAGCACAGCTGAGATTCCCCCCTCCCCTGGTTTTCAGCATGACACCATTCCAAGTAAACAACTGTCTGCTGTTAGCAACTTAACATCAGTTTTTCTACCTGAAACTGCTGAGATAAACAGCTTTGCCACAGCTCCAGCTTCCCAGTATTTGAAGTCGTGTTACATTTTCACAGTGCTCGCTAGAATAATCCATTCCTTAGTAACTAGATTTTGACAGATCCCTTGTGTTGCCCAATACTGTGTCATGTTAAAAAGGAAAAAGGAAACTTCACAGCCCAGGTTACACAGAGGTTTGCCTAGAACAGAGAGCTGAAAAGAGCAGGGTTCTGCTACTAAATGTTTTTGTTTCAAGTCCACTGATCCCTCATCCTTCTCGTTTGTCCAAAAACAGCTAAAGCTTTACTGGAATGTACTGAGCAGAACTAGTTTGTACAGTGGGTGAGTTTTCCATGCAATGGGCTTTGCTTCACAGCCAGTTTTCACGCCTTCTTCATTTGATAAAGCAACTTCACTTGCCTGTTGTACAGGCACAGACTTTCAGCTATTGAGATTAAATGTGCTGCCAAGACTCACTGAGCCTTACATTCTACAGCAATCAACAGAGAAGCTCCACACTAGAAAAGCAGTGGCACCAAGCCAGCTACAAAGATAACCCCCTCCCTACAAAGTAGGCGTGTGCCCCCCCCCACTGCTTATACATCCCACCCTGCCAACCAGCGTTCCCCACCAAGCATCTGGAGAAACCAAACAATGCCTATTTGCAGTAATTAATACGCTGCTGGGAATCAGGAAGTGCACGCCACAAAACCTTTCATTACAAAAGTACCGCAACATGGCCATCTGCAGACTGGGATTGGTGCGGAGAAAATCTCCTTGCGTTCATTGTTCTGTATGTCTCAAACTCAGGAAGAGAGTTTGTGCCGCATCTGTATGGTACTGCGTGTGTGAGAATGTGTTAGGAGTTTGCGTAGGAAAGCTATCCAAGCGAGAACCAACTCCTGCGTTATGAGAGAGCAATCGATGGCTCCCTTTCCCACTCCAGCTGTGCAGGACTCAGAAGGGCCCACAGACCTCTTCTCTGCAGACCAGCCTTCAGAAGTACATCAGGTCAGAGGAAAGCACAGGCTTCAAGGAAATTAGCTCAAGCACGGGGCATCCAGAAGAACTCGCCTCAAACCCCTGCAGAAAGCACCCCACACACACACACACACACAAACTAGAAGTCCAAGTGACTAGTCCCTAAGCCCCTAGAGGAGCATTACAGCTGCTCTCCTTTGTCCAGCGTTTAGAAAGTTCTCTGCACCGTCCGCCCCAGACCTGCTGTCTTTCTGGGTATCTTCCCCAACAGTCCCACCCCACGGAGGCGGCGGCGAGAGCGCATCGGCAGCCAGGACGTAAAGGACCCGCCAGGCCGCAGCGGACGGAGGGTCCTCCCACGGCGTCTCCGCGGCGAGGCACCGGCGCGAGGCTCGAGGGGCGCGCAAGCCCCCGCCCGGCCCGGCCCGGCCCGCCAGGACGCCGCGCAGTCCTCGCACCCCACCCTGCACAGCTGTCCGCATCCCCACGTACCCCTGGGCTCGCCCCTCGCGCGGCTCCCCCAGCCAGCAGCCCCCTCCCCCGCTCGCTGCCCCGCGCCAGCGATGCGCGGCCCGGGGAAGCCCTTTCTCCTGCACCCGCTCCACGTGCGCACGCATGCACACGCGCCCCGGCGCACGCCCCGGCGCCTCAGGGCCCCCCTCGCCACGGGGCCGTCCGGGCAGCGCGAGGAAGCCCGCCCGCCCGGCCGCACGCGGGCACGGGCCCCGACGAGGCGCGCGCTCCCCGCCGCCCCCTC